GGCCCAAGTGCTTGGGCCCTGCACCCCATGGGAGACCAGGAGAAGCACCTGGCTCCTGCCATTGGATCAGCGCAGTGCGCCAGCTGCAGCGTGCCGGCTGCGGCGGCCATGGAGGGTGAACCAACAGCAAACCGAAGACCTTTCTCTCTGTCTCTCCCTCTCACTGTCCACTCTGCCTGTCAAAAAAAAAAAAAAAAAAAAGCTACAATGAAAATGCAGCAGTGTTTAGTATATCCACAGAGTTGGGCATGTGTTGTCACCTATGTAGTTCTGGAACATTTTCGTCACCCTAAGAAACCATGCACCCATCAGTGGTCACTTCCTGCTCTCTCTCTCCCCTTTCCTAGCCGCTGACAACCCCTGATCTCCTTTCTGACTCTGGGTGTGCCTGTTTTGGATGTTTTGTAGAAATGGAATCAGATAGCACGTGACCTTTAGTTACTGACTTCTTCCTCTTAGCATTGGGCTGTCGAGCAGGCACGCGTGCTGTAACAGGTGTTTTGTGGCTGAATCACAGCCCATTCTATGGATGTTTGTGCTTTATGTATCCATTCATCTGTCCGTGGGCATTGGGTTGTTTCTTCTCTTTGGCTATAATGAATGATGCTGCTCTGAGCTCTTGTTTATAAGGTTTTCAAAAAAGATTTATTTAATTGTTTGAAGGAGATATCGGTTGATTGATCTTCCATCTGCTGGTTCACTACCCAGGTGGCTGCAATGGCCAGGGCTGATTCAGGCCAAAGGCAGTAGACAGGCGCTCCATTCTGGTCTTCCACCTGGATGGCAGGGTCCCTGGTACTTGAGCCATCCTCTGCTGCTTTCCCAGGTACATTAGCAGGGCGCTGGATCAGAAGTAGAGCAGCTGGGACTCGAACTGGCGCTCTGACACGGGATGCCGGCGTTGCAGGCAGCAGCTCAGCTCACTGTGCCACACTGCCAGCCCCTCCAAGTTTTTTGAGTGGTTATATGTTTTTAATTTTCTAAGGAGTGGGATTGTGGTGGGGAGTAGAACTTGGTGCTGACATCTTGAGGACCCGTTGGACTGTGGGAAAGTGGCCGTGCTGTCTGGTGTTTCTGCCAGCACAGTTCAGGGTTCGGTTCTCCCCATCCTCAGCACTTGCTCTTCATCTTTTTATTGTAGGCACCTGGTGGGTATGAAGCGATGTCTCCTGGTGGTCCCAACTGGCACTTCTTTAGAGCATTTTTAATGTGCTTACTGGCCACAAGCACATTTCCTTGAGAAATGAGTGTTCGCACTCTGCCTATTTTAAAATTGGGATGTTTGTTTTTATTGCAGAGTTGGGGAGAATTTATGTGATCTGCAGGTGTGTTTTTAAATTTTTTAAAAGATTTTTTTATTTATTTGAGAGGTAGAATTATAGACAGAGAGAGGGAGAGACAGAGAGACGTCTTCCATCCACTGGTTCACTCCCCAAATGGCTGCAGTGACTGGAGCTCAGCCAATCTGAAGCCAGGAGCCAGCAGCTTCTTCTGGGTCTCCCACATGGGCGCTGGGGCCCAAGGGACTTGGGCCGTCTTCTGCTGTTTTCCCAGGCCATAGCAGAGAGCTGGATGGGAAGCGGAGCAGCCGGGACATGAACCGGTACCCACCTGGGATCTGGTGCAGCAGGCGGAGGCTTAGCCCACCACGCCACAGCGCCGGCCCCATGATCTGCAGGTGTTTTCTCTGTTCTGTGGATGATGGCCGTTTTCCTTCCCAGCTGTGCCACTGACGTTTGTGGGGAAGAAGACTCTCCTCACCGAGTTATCTGGGCACTTTTGTCCAAAAGCACTCACATGATTTTATGTGTGTATTCTTTCTTCTCTTCCTGTCGTCCGTTTGCCAGTTGGACCTTGATTTTAGAAGCCCAGGTGTCCTGGATGAGCAGCTATCTTCAGGGCAGCAGTGGCTTTGGTTGTGGGGTTCCCCCGCCCCCCGCTCCCCGTAGGTTCAGGGTTGATTCCAGCCTTTGACCTCATGCTGATGGTTCTGTATTGTCTAGTCAGTTCTCAGTGCTTCAAGATGTGTTTTGTTTATGTATTTTTTTTTTTTTTACAAATTTATTTACTTGAAAGGCAGATTACAGAGAGAGAGGGAGACAGAGGAAGATCTTCTGTCTGCTGATTCACTCTTCAAATGGGCACAGTGGCCACAGCTGGGCCAGGCTGAAGCCAGGAGCATGGAACGCCATCCAGGTATCCAGTGTGGGTGCAGGCCCCCAGGGACTTGGGCTGTCTTCTGCTGCTTTCCCAGGCACATTTGCTGGGAGCTGGAAGTGGAATGAGGAGCAGCTGGGACTGGAACCTGTGTCCACCTGGGATGCTGATGTTGCAGACTGTGGCTTAACCTGCTGTGCCACAGCTTCGGCCCCTATTGAAGTTTTTGAAAACAATGTTTGTTTTCATCTACGTGAAAGGCATATTAGATAGATATCTTGCTTTTGCTGGTTCACTCCAGAAATAGCCGCAACAGCCAGGGCTGGGACAGGCAGAAGCCAGGAGCCAAGAGCTCCAGCCGGGTCTTCCGTGTGGTGGCAGGGACTCGGGCACCTGAGCCGTCATCTGCTGCCTTCCCAGGCCCATTAACAGCAAGTTGGCTCATCAGTTTAGTCACCAGGACTTGATATGGGATGCTGGCGCTGCAGACGCCACAGCACCAACCACCTCCCATGCACTTTTAATACTCTCTGGATGACTGACTTCCCTAATACAATGCTATGTCAATCGCTGTACAGTGTATGTAGGGAGCATTGCCAAGAAAAAGGATGTGTGTGTTCCGTGCAGATGCAGTCTTCCTAAATGTTTTCCATCTGAGGTTGATTGGATTTGCACATGTGGAGTCTGCAGACACAGAGGGCCAGTTGCATTTGTGTTTACCTTTTATTTATTTAATTTTTGTTTATCTTAAAGGCAGAGAAAGAGACAGAGAGAGCTCCTCCACCTGCTGCTTTGCTCACCAAATGCCCACAACAGCCAGGGCTGGGCCAGGTTGCAGTCAGTCAGGAGGAACCGGGGACTCCACATCTCCCACCTGGGTGGCAGGGACCCCAGTAATTGGGCCATGACCTGCTGCCTCCAGGAAGCTGGGACCCTGGCCTCAGAGGCAGCCCTTAAGGCATTCGGATCTCAGGCATGGAAAGCCAAGACACTGTGGCAAAAAATGACCTAAATGGAAGACCTCTGTGAGTAAGATCCCAGCGGAAAGAATGGGCCATCAAAGAAGGAGGTACCTTTCTCTGAAGGGAGGAGAGAACTTCCACTTTGACTATGGCCTTGTCTAAATAGGATCTGAGTTTGTGAACTCAAGAGGCTTCCATAGCCTTGGCAGCTCATGAATAGGGCCTCGGGTGATCACATTACTGACGTCATAAATAAGAGTGTCAATTGTTAAATCAACAATGGGAGTCTCTGTGCAACTATTCTCCATGTAGGATCTCTGTCCTTAATGCATTGTACTATGTGAATTAACCGTAAAACTAATCTTCAAACAGTACTTTATACTTTGTGTGTTTGTGTGGGTGCAAACTGTTGAAATCTTTACTCAGCATAGAGTTGATCTTCTGTATATAAAGATAATTAAAAGTGAATCTTAATGAAGAATGGGGTGGGAGAGGGAGTAGGAGATGGGATGATTTGCAGGTGGAAGGGTGGTTATGGGGGGAAGAACAGCTATAATCCAAAAGTTGTACTTTCGAAATTTTTATTTATTAAATAAAAGTTTTCTATTAAAAAAAAGAAGGAAGCTGGAATCAGAAGTAGAGCCAGGACCAGAACCCAGGCACTCTGATATAGGAAGTTGGCATCCCAAGTGGCACCTGGATGTAACCATAGTTCACATTTACTGTTTTTTTAATCTTTATTGTTTTTAAATATTTGTTTTATTTATTTTAATGGCAGAATGACACAGAGAGCAAGAGAAAGAGAAAGAGCTTTCATTCTTTGGTTCACTCCCCAAATGGCCACAGTGGTGAGGCTGGGCCAGGCTGAAGCCATAAGCCAGGAATTCCATGTTGGTCTCCCACATGAGTGGCAGGGCACAAGTACTTGGGCTATCCTCCATTGCCTCCCCAGGCACGTCAGCATGGAGCTGTAATGGAAGTGGAGCAGCTGGGATTTGAACTGGCACTCAGATATGGGATGCTGGTGTCGCAAGCAGTGGCTTACCCCACACTCCAGCGCCCCCAAGTGCCAAATGCCTTTCCATTGCAGCTGTATTTGGTGTCCAGGTTTAAAATCTTTTGTAAAAACTGGAAGGCCGAGGACAGGCGTTTGACCCACTGGTTAAGGCACTGGGTAGGATGCCCAGGGTCCACGTTAGAATACCTGTGTTTAATGCCGGCTCCAGCTCCTGCTTCCAGCTTCTTGCTAATGCAGACCTTGGGAGGCAGTGGTGATGGTGGCTCCAGTGGTTGGGTCATGTGGAAGACCTGGATTGAGTCCCCAGGTTCTGGCTTTGGCCTGGTCCAGCTCTGGCTATTGAGTGACCCTGTAGTTGGGAGTCTTCTCTGCCTCCGTCTGTCTGTCTGTCTCTCTCTGTTGCTGTCTCTTCCTCTCCCCCCACCAAGTAAGTGAATAAAATTTAAAACCGACTAACCAACCTGGAAGGGCTAACAGACGTGTTTTATCTGCTGTCCAACCCCATCCTGCTGCTTTCCCAAGTGCATCAGCAGGGAGCTGGATCAGAAGCAGAGCAGCTGGGACATGAACTGGTGCCCATTTGGGTGTGGAGTCTCAGGTGGCGGCTCCACCTGCTGTGCCGCAGCGCCAGCCCCTTTTAAACACGGCAGCTACACTTGGTGCTTTGTGAGCTCTGTGTCAGGTAGAAATGAGAATGTGTGAGCCAAAGTAACTTTGATATCCCCAAAATGCAGTGTGTGGTAATTTGCTTTGCCTGACTGAAATTTAGTGGCAGGAAGCCTGCAGAAGAAAATAGTGTCTGGTTATTTCGGAGGGGAAAACTCTCAGCCTCTGTCTCCCTCCATCCTGGTGGGATTTTGCAGGTTGTCAAGTGGTCGGACTGTTGCTTGCCGTTGGCCTGCAGACCCGGGGAGCCTTATCGGCTGATAGCTGAAGCGAGCGTGGACGACTTCAGCAAGCTGGGGGTGGCGTTCATGGAGGACAGACTGCAGATGGACAATGGGCTGGTGCCCCAGAAGATCGTTTGTAAGTAACCCCAGACAGTGCCTCCTCCAGGGGCGACGTCAGAAGTGGTTAGCAGAAGGACTTGAGCGTTCCTGTTGGAAGGATGTGAGGGCGTGGCTTAGTTTCAGAATAATTCAGTCACCAGGTTAGGTTTGATCATCATGGTATAAAATTCATATATGCGTCAAGTTCTGGGGAGGTAGAAGGGTGTATCTTTGGTGATCATTAAATTTATTTTTTTAAAGAAAAGATTTATTTATTTATTTTAAAGAGTTACAGAGAGAGAAGAGGTAGAGAAGGAGATCCTCCATCCACTGGTTCACTTCCCAGATAGCTGCAATGGGCGGGGCTGGGCCAGACCGAAGCCAGGAGCTGGGAGCCAGGAGCTGCTTCTGGATCTCTCCCGTGGGTAGCAGGGGTGTAAGTACTGGGACGTCCTCTGCTGCCTTTCCCAGGCCATTGGCAGGGGGCTGGGTCAGAAGTGGAGCAGCTGGGACAGGAACCGGTGCCCGTATGAGATGCCAGTGTCACAGGTGGTGACTTTACCTGCTGTGCCACAATGCTGGCCCCCTTATTAAATTTCTTTCATATCTCTGTTGTCCATGTCATGACATTCAAATTTCAAATTATTATTATTATTTTTTTTCACAGGCAGAGTGGACAGTGAGAGAGAGACAGAGAGAAAGGTCTTCCTTTGCCTTTGGTTCACCCTCCAATGGCCGCCGCGGCCGGCGCGCTGCGACCGGCGCACCACGCTGATCCGATGGCAGGAGCCAGGTGCTTATCCTGGTCTCCCATGCGGGTGCAGGGCCCAAGGACCTGGGCCATCCTCCACTGCACTCCCTAGCCACAGCAGAGAGCTGGCCTGGAAGAGGGGCAACCGGGACAGAATCCGGCACCCTGACCAGGACTAGAACCCGGTGTGCTGGTGCCACAGGCAGATTAGCCTATTGAGCCGTGGCGCCAGCCCAGATTTCAAATTATATAATATTTATTTCATGCAGTTTAATACCCTATGTCTAGCCTGTTGTTCTGACTGAATGGGAAGCACAGCCAAGGTTACTATGATATTCTAAATATAGCAGCTTTTTACTTAAAATATAAACACGGGTGGAGCATCCCTAATCCAAAAATCTGAAAGGCTCCAAAATCGGAAAGGTTTTCAGCACTAACATAATGCCACAGTGGAACATTCCACACCGACTTCTGTGGCAGGAGGCAGCCAGAATGCAGGTGCACTGAAAGTGTCGTACGATATTGCCTTCAGGCTGTCTGTAAGGTGTACGTGAAACATAAAGGTATTTCCTGTTTGGACCTGCCTCCAAGAATTATGTATCTGCAGATATTCCAGGATCTGAAAATGTCCTAAATCCGAAACCCTTATGATCCCTAGCATTTTGGATGAGGGATACCCAATCTGTATCATAGTTTTTTTTTTTTTTTTTCACAAATCTTTTCTCAGGAAACAACTGTTCTTTCATTAAACTCGAATGCAGGCTTTCTGTCTGTGAAAGCCTTTATTCGTATCCTCAACAGATAAGTGTTCCTGAGCTCTGGAAATTTATGTAAATCACTGAACTTCCTGATTCGCCATGCCTGCGCCCAGGTCTGCATCAGACAGTAGCAAGTGCGCAGTGGACGTCTCCGGAATCAGTGGCGTAAACTGGTTTCCATTCTTGAAACAAGATGGTGCGGGGAAGTGTGCTAGGAGTGGCTTTTTTCCTGGGGCAGGCCTGTGTAGATTCCAGCTGTGTGCCCCATGTACTCCTCCCTTTCATATTTAGGACAGTGTGCCCAAGAGATTGAGCCTGTGAGGAAGTGGGCAGAGTCACTTTTCTGCCTCTGTCTCCTCCAGTCAGTAAGAGAATTTGAAGCTCTGTGATGTGTATAGGGAAGAGGTTGGGGAAACTGAGGGTTCACCTGGGGTCTTCAGGGGTGCCCTCCCAGCAGGCAGGAGTGATTGGGGGATGCAGGTGGGAGCCGTGCAGGCGGTCGTCCTGGGCCGTGAGTCACTGGCACGCTGAGGGCGTGGGGGGAGCCATGACGGTTGAGACGTGTTGATGAACGCCCTTTCCTGTTCATGCTGTAGCCGTGCACTTGAAGGACTCCACTCTGGAGGAACTTAAGGATCAGGCCTTAAACAACCAAACCCCAATCCCGCAGCCGAACCCCGAACCATCTCCTGAGACGGAGCCTGCGCAGGGAGTTATGGAGCACGTTGGCAAAAGTGACTCGAAGGATCCTGGTGAGGGCTCCTCCACGCCGAGGAGGGGCAGTGCCCCCGGGAGTGAGCCCGCCTCCGAGGGGAGTGAGCAGGGCGGGGGCTCCCCCGAGCATCACCACCTCCACCTGTCTAGTTGCCACGAGTGCCTGGAACTCGAGGGCAGCACCATTGAGTTGATCAAGTTTGCTTCTGCAGAGAACATTCCGGATCTTCCCTACGATCACAGCAGCAATGTGCAGGGCACTGCTGATGAGAGCTACCCCGAAAGAGAAGAAAGGAGGGTCAACGTGACGGGCAAGGCTCCGAACATCTTACTCTACCTGGGCTCCGACTCCCAGGAAGCCCTGGGCCGGCTCCAGCAGGTGCGCTCCGTTCTGGCCGACTGTGTGGATACTGACAGTTACACCCTCTACCACCTGCTGGAGGAGAGCGCCCGCAGGGACCCGTGGCCAGACAACTGTCTCTTGTTGGTCCTTGCCACCCAGGAGGCCATTCCCAAGGACCTGCACCAGAAGTTCATGGCCTATCTTTCTCAGGGAGGGAAGATATTGGGGCTGTCTTCGCCTTTCACGTTCGGTGGCTTCCAGGTGACGAGCAAGGACGCGCTGCAGAAGACCGTCCAGAGCTTGGTGTTCTCCAAGGCTGATGGCAGGGAAGTGAGGCTGCGCGCGCTGAGCAGCGGCTGCGTCTATGAGGACAGCACCGGAGAGCGGCTGAGTCCCGGCAGGCTGCAGGGCCGCCTGGAGGGCGCGGACCAGGACAGGATGATTGTGCAAGTGCCTTTTGGAACCTGTGGCGGAGAAGCCGTTCTTTGCCAGGTACTGGAGGTGGAGCTGACTCTCTCGTCTTTGGGAGGGCACGTGGTTTCCAAGGCTGGACGTGGAAAAGTTCCTGGGGCGCGTGTGCTGTGGGCTGGGAGCTTTTGCTGAGGGTGAGTGGGACCATGGCTTCGTTTAGCTCAGGGCGTTCATGAATAAGGAACATAAATGCTGACCTACCAAAACACTTGTGATGGAGGAACGGGGCAGAAGGTGTGAGCTTGAGAGTTAACCAAGGAGTAGTCAGGGGAGTCTTGTCTCATCTTCACTGGCAATAACCTTTTTTTTCTTTTTTTCTTTTTATTTTTTTTTGACAGGCAGAGTGGACAGTGAGAGAGAGACAGAGAGAAAGGTCTTCCTTTGCCGTTGGTTCACCCTCCAATGGCCGCCGCGGCTGGTGCGCTGCGGCCGGCACACCGCGCTGATCCGAAGGCAGGAGCCAGGAGCCAGGTGCTTCTCCTGGTCTCCCATGGGGTGCAGGGCCCAAGCACTTGGGCCATCCTCCACTGCACTCCCGGGCCACAGCAGAGGGCTGGCCTGGAAGAGGGGCAACCAGGACAGAATCCGGCGCCCCAACCGGGACTAGAACCCGGTGTGCTGGTGCCGCAGGCGGAGGATTAGCCTAGTGAGCCGCGGCGCCGGCCTGGCAATAACCTTTCTGAAATACATTAGTCAGGGTGGGCGTTTGGTGCAGCAGTGAAAATGCTGCTTGGGATGCCCACATTCCATTCCTGGCGAGGCCTGGGTTCCAGTCCTGCCTCCGTTCTGCCTTGCAGCTGCCTGCTACTATGCGCCCTGGGAGGCGGCAGGGGATGGCTCACATGAATTGAGTTCCTGCTACTCACGTGGGAGACCTGGGTTGAGTTTCTAGCTCCTGGCTTTGGCCTGGGCCCAGCTGTTGTGGGCATTTGGGAAGTGAACCTACAGATAGAAGATCACTCTCCATCTCTCTCTGTCTCTTTGCCTTTCAAATAAAATAAAATGAATTAATTGATAAAAGCAGGCAGTCAGAAGGAAGACGTCTCAAAAGCTTTAAAAAGCTACGTTAGTTTACTTTCTTGTCACGAGTACCCCGTTATTAATGTACTCAAGCCTTTATTTAATGTAAACAGTTGAGGGTCTTGGGGTAGTGATCCCAGACATTGTTGACCGTCACATTAAAATACTGCAGCTGATGGCCAAGTCTTTGGGCCCCTGCTCCTGTCTGAGAAAGAAGCACCTGGCTCCGGGCTTCAGACTGGCCAGTTCCAGCTGTCACAGCAATTTTGGGAGTGAACCAGCGGATGGAAGATCTCTCTGTCTTTCTCTCGTTGTCTCTGCCTTTCAAATACATCTTTTTTAAAAAAATCTAAGTGCTGGGAAGAACTCCCAGTGAGAGGATATTGAAGTTATCTAGATTGATGGCTTCGTAGTGCCTAAGGAAGCAGGGAGGAGAGGAAAGGAGGCTGCCGAGAGCAGGTCCTTTGTCTCTCCTGTTCTCTTTTTCCTCTTTCTCCTTTTAGCTTTTGCTGATTTAAGCGGGTGGTAGCAGGATAGACTGTTCCAGAATTTCCCATCAGTTACCGCACATCGTTTTCAATGCCTTAGGACAGAGGTTTTCGTTAGAGTCAGGTGAGCACTTTCTTCTCCTTAAGGATTTGATGATTTAATACAAAAATGAAATCCAGCTGACCCTAGTATCTGGGTTCTTCATCCACAGCCTTAACCAGGCACCGTTGGAAAACGTTTGGACACAAAATCTCAAGTGTACGGACTTCCTTCTTGTCGCTGCTGCCTAACCAATGTGCCTACATTGCATTAGAGTTAGACATGGTCTAGAGATTATTCCAGCTCCCAGGAGGAGCTAAGTGGGTTCTGTGCAGATAGCTCTCCACGGCCCGGGAGGGGCCCCTGCAGGTGCCAGTTTTGCCCATTAGAGTGCCCAGATGAATGCAATAGAGTGTGTTTTGTGGTAGGGCTCTCTTTATTGAGTCAGCAAATTGTTTACTTTTTTGGTTCTGTTTTCTTTTAATTTTTTGTTTTATGCCAGGCCTCTTGCCAGCCCTCCTAGAAGCTCCGTCTCTTTTTTTTTTTTTTTTCCTCTTTTTTACCTTGGGTTTTCTGATCAAACATTTGTCAGAGGGTATAGTTCTGTTTTTTTTTTTTTCCCTCTGTTCTAAAGCTCACTCACTCGATTTAGATGATACTGAGGCAAAGATGCTTCAATGTCAGAAATTCGGACACGAGGACAGATGAACATGTCCAGCCCAGGCAGGTTTCCTGTAGGGCTGTGAGCCACATGGATCCATTTTGGAGGCCTAATAAATGCTCCTCTTATCTTTTTCTCTGAGAATATGGTAACTATAGCAACTGTGCATTCTCAGAAAATCCACTTAAACACCCAACTTCCTACAGCCATATTTCAGTTTTGAAGAGCGGATTGTACCACTTCTGTGTGCAGACTTGTACTAGAAAATTGATTCGGCACTGTTGTGATCCGTTTCTCTGAGTTACATAGCAAATCTGTTTGCTGCACCATTTAAATTGACCCCGTTTCTATCATAAAATTTGATACTGCAGTGCATTGCCCTAGGAAAAAAAAAAGGCAATCTGATGCAGCTTCACAAATCAGAGTCGGAGGATTAGAATGTCGTTTTTGATTTTAAATGACTTCCAGTCTTCTCTGTGACAGGGTCACTGTTTTCTCCCCAGGCCCGTGTGGCTGCGAAACCTCTCCGAGATCAACCAATAAATATTATCACAGGCTGGTTAGTTTCCTCTTTCCCTGTTCAATTTCATAGTCTTCATCTTTGTAATAAATCTAGCAATGATGTAACCCAGTAAGAGGAGGCAAGGGAGTTCAAGGGCCCAACACAGCTGCACGCGGGGCGCTGGGCTCCCAGCCACACAGACTGCCCGTTTGATGCCTCTGCCCTTCACGATGATAGAGGGGCACCGTTCAAGTGCTTGGTGCACTGATCAAGTTCGCGGGGACGATTTCACGCCGACATTTGCCTGTCAGAGGGACTAGCAGTTGGCACGAAGTTGTCCGAATGGACTTTAAGAAGTTCGGCCTCTTTACTCGGCACAAGGCAGAAGTGGTTCTGCTCTCACGCAGAGAGTTCCTCGGCCAAGGTGCCGTCGACATTTCGGGCCCAGTGATTCTTTGCAGCTAGGGGCAGGAGCCCCGTCTACCCAATACGTGCCTGCAGTACCCACCTCCTTGCTTGTGGCTCGAGATGTTACTGGTTCTAGCACTGTGTCCAGCTGAAAAGCCTTGCTTTTAGAAGCCAGGTTATAGACAGGCCATCACTATGGCAACCAGCATAGGTCCAGAGGATGAGGCTTCTGTTGACTACCACGAGGACCCGGAGTGCAAATCTGCCGGGCTCCCAGCCTGGTGTGCCACTGGGGGCCATGCCCACCATGGAGGCGCTGTCCTCAGGGTGTCACCCACGGCCTGTTGTTGTCCTCCTGGACCCTGGGGCCTGCTGGTAGCTCTGTCCCTGCTTTTCTCACTGCATCTGTCTTGTGTGATGATGGTTCAGTGCATTTCACTGTGCCCCTGTGTGTTCAGCTTGTCCACAGGGTGTGCACACGCAGTCCCCATTCCCTCACGCACAGGCAAGCACAGACACAGTGAGGCTCCTGTCTGGGCTGAGACTGACTTGCTATGTGCTGCTTGTCCATTTGGGAGGGAGGCATACAGAGGGTGGAGGAGGGGCTGGAGGATCGATGCTTTATAGGGTCCACTCCTCTGCCCTCCCCTCTCCAGGGCAGTCGGGGCCAGGCCCACCCGCTGCCCGCTGCCCTTAGGGCTCCATCACGGTGAAGCAGCAGCCTGCAGCGGCCAGCTGTAGTTTGGAGATTGTTGGGCAGGGTTCTGCAGACCCTCAGTGGGGACACTCGGACCATGGTCGATAGTAGATTTGGACAGGATCTTTGGTTTGGTTGAGGTGTGGGTGGGAGTTGAGAGATGTTTAAGTTGACAAGGCTGGCACCATGCCTTCACTTTTCTTGATGCCTAAAGTAGGAAGCACTACATACAATACAGGCAAAAACAGAATAAGGCAAATGAGCTGATGTCCATCTTCAGGGTTCTCGGTATTGTGGGGTCCCCCTGATGCTAACGTCAAGTGAACATCTGATCTCAAGAGAACTGGAAGTTTCAGTCCCTTCCTTTATGCCAAGACACTGACTGGTGATAGGGGGGGACACTTAATTTATCATTTTTTAATTTTTTAAGAGGCGGAGAAGCTGGGAGAGCTATCCTCCATCTGCTGGTTCACCTTCCAGATGCCCGCAGCAGTTGGGGTAGGCTGAGGCTGGAAGCTGGGAGCTCCTTCTGGGCCTCCCACGTGGCTGGCAGGGGCCCAGGCACTTGCGTGTCATCTGTGGCCTCCAGGCTGCACATTAGCAGGAAGCTAGAACTGGGAGTGGAGCTGGGCCGGGAACCAGGCAGTCCGACGGGGTGTGTGCTTCCGAACAACAGTTACCCATTGTGCCGAATGCCTGCCCCTCAGATCTTTAGCGCTTGCTCTCTCTTCTGCAGTGCTCGGGTTCTGAGTTTATGTGCTGTTGGTAATGGTGAGAATCCATGTTCAAGTTTTCAGAACTGGCAGCGAAGCTGTCTTGATGTCTGCACGGGCCCTGGATTTACACGTGGTGTTTCTCCCCTCAGGTGCACTTAGAACTACCTCCCAGCTCTTCCCTGGTGCAAACTCAAGAAGATTTTAATTTGCTCAAATCAAGCAACATGTCAAGATACGAAGTCCTTAGGGAGATCCTGACGACCCTCGGCCTGAGCTGTGACGTAAAGCAAGTGCCTGCCTTAACACCTGCGTACCTCCTGCCGACCACACGGGTGAGCTTGCAGCTGGCTCAGCCAGAAGGGGGCGCCGTGCCGTGGCCTTCTTCAAAACAGGGGGCCTGGCCCTGGAGTTCTTTCGTTTCCCTGGGTTTTGGTTGTGATTTCTCTTTTGATTTCCATTTTCTCTTTTGACTTCGGATGGTCTGGAGACCGTGTGAAAGGCATGCAGAGATCACGTAGTCGCGTCTGTGTTTGTATGTGAGGTGGGGGAAGGCTGCTGGAGTTTGGCCTGCAGGTTCTGGGCTTTTCCTGCTTGTGGGTCAGGGGAGTGCAGCCCACTCTTTGGCTCTGTGGGTTCCGTATCCCTGGATTCAACCAACCTTGGAATAAAAATACTTGGGGGGAAAAAAAAAACTGCTTCTATACTGAACGTGTGCAAACCTTTTCCTTGCCATTGTTCCCCGAATACAGTGCACAGTTATTTAAAGAGCATGTGCTCTGCGGTAGGCACTAGGAGCAGCCTAGAGAGGATTTAGCATAGAACTCAGTGGGTTCTGTGTGAGGACGGCACCGTTTTATTAAGGGACTTGAGTGACTGTGGATTGTGGCATCCATGGAAGGGGTCCTGGGACCCAATCCCTGTGGATAGCAAGGGGTGGCTCTGTGATCTGGAAACCACGGTCTGTTCATTTGGGATTAAAAACAGTTGTTTTGATTGGGGCCTTTCTCAGCTTATCTTTGGGTGGGAAAATCACAATTTTGGCTTCATTTGTGCTGCTGTCTGCCACCTGGTGGCAGACAGGCCCTGGGCTTCAGTTCCTGTGCGTCAGCTGTGTGTAAAAGGAAAATACCCGCAGAGTTGGGGGTGTATTCAGGAATTCCATCGGCCTTGAGTCTGCGTTTGCTGCCTGTGATTGATACCTGCTTTTGGGCAGGTTGCCAGATTCTCCAGGTGTGTGTTCCTGCTAATCCCCTTGCTTGCCGCGCTGTCAAGGTCTTATTCATTCTAACAAATCATTTTGTGGGTCTCTTTCTGTTGTTGTCCCTGAACAGCTGAAGGTGTGAGTGTAGTGACTATTCCAGCAGATAGGTACCCATGTTCCAGGTGACTTTCCCTGGAAAAGAACAAATTACACGCCTTACCACGCATTATTTATTTATTTATTTATTTATTATTTTTTTTTTTTTTGACCGGCAGAATGGACAGTGAGAGAGAGAGACAGAGAGAAAGGTCTTCCTTTTGCCGTTGGTTCACCCTCCAATGGCCGCCGCGGCCGGCGCGCTGCGGCTGGCGCACCGCGCTGATCCGATGGCAGGAGCCAGGAGCCAGGTGCTTTTCCTGGTCTCCCATGGGGTGCAGGGCCCAAGCACCTGGGCCATCCTCCACTGCACTCCCTGGCCACAGCAGAGAGCTGGCCTGGAAGAGGGGCAACCAGGACAGAATCTGGCGCCCCGACCGGGACTAGAACCCGGTGTGCCGGCGCCGCTAGGCGGAGGATTAGCCTAGTGAGCCACGGCGCCGGCCAACCACGCATTGTTTAAAAGATTTATTTTGTTTATTTGAAAGGTAGAGTGACAAAAAGAGAAGGAGGGAGGGAGGGAGAGAGAGACAAAAAGAGAAAGAGAAAGAAAAAGAGATATCTCCCATCCATGGGTTCATCTCCAAATGGCTACAGTGGTTGGGGCTGGGCCAGGCTGAAGCCAGAAGCCTGGAACTTCTTCTGGGTCCCCATGTGGGTGCAGGGGCCCCAGCATTTGGGCCATCTTCCACTGCTTTCCCAGGTGCATTAACAGGGAGCTGGGTCGGAAGTGGAGGAGCCGGAACTTGAATCAGTGCTGTATGGGATGCCAGGGTTGCAAGCAGTGCCTAGCCTGCTATACCCCGATGCTGGCCCCAGCCACACCTTTAAAACAGGACATACTCTGTTTTGGGTTATGCTCCTGCCCTTGGCAAAATTAGTAACCAGAGGAGAGAAGAGCTGTGGGCTGTCTGGGTACACTTACTTGATACACTTACTTGGAGAAGACAGATTGAAAATCTGAGAGTGTCTGGGAATAAGAGAGTTTACAGGGTCATTTGGAGACTAGATGAGAATACATGTGAAAGTTCTACCTAATTGCATTATGAAATGATAGTGCAGTTAATCCTGAGGTGGTTGAGAGGTGGAGTGGGTTAAAGGTGTGTAGTGTGCCTGGTGATGCGTCTAAGCAGGCTCTAGGTGATGTTACTACTTTTAAACATTAGTAATATAGCAAGGGATTGTTTCCATCTTGACAGCATTGTCTCATTGTGTGCCCCATCACGTCTGTAGTTTGTGGTTTGACTCCTGTTGCACCAGTGTCTCAGGAACTCACAGCTCCCAGTCATCTGTCTCTGTTTTTGTATGTTCAGTTAATAGAAAGATAGAAAGGCGCCACTTTTTTTTTTTTTTTTTTGTAGGCAGAGTGGACAGTGAGAGAGAGAGACAGAGAGAAAAGTCTTCCTTTTCCATTGGTTCACCCCCAATGGCCGCTGCGGCCGGCGCACCGCGCTGATCCGAAGGCAGGAGCCAGGTGCTTCTCCTGGTCTCCCATGGGGTGCAGGGCCCAAGGACTTGGGCCATCCTCCACTGCACTCCCTGGCCACAGCAGAGAGCTGGCCTGGAAGAGGGGCAACCGGGACAGAACTGGCGCCCCAACTGGGACTAGAACCTGGGGTGCTGGTGCCGTAGGTGGAGGATTAGCCTAGTGAGCCGCGGCACTGGCCGGCACCACATTTTTTTTTTAAAAAGATGTATTTATTTATTTTAAAGGCAGAGTGACAGAGAGAGAAGGGGAGAGAGAGGAAGAGAGCGCTTCCGTCCTCTGGTTCACTCCCCAAACGGCTGCAGCAGCCAGGGCTGGGCCAGGCTGAAGCCAGGAATCAGGAGCTTCTTGTGTCTCCCATGTTTGCGGCAGAGGCCCGAGTACTTTGCCCATCTTTGGCTGCCTTCGTGGTGCATTAGCAGGGAGCTGGATCAGAAGTGGGGCAGCCGGGACTCTGCCCCTGTGGGTTACGGGTGTCGCAGACAGCGGCTTGACCTGCTGCACCACAGCACTGCCTCTCCACCCCCCGCCTTTTTGTGACACAGAAAGTCACCAATGTGGCCGTCCTTAGAGCCTCCAGTCTTGGAGGAGTGGAGCAGGGCTGTGTGGACGAGGGTGCTGGGCCCAGGGCAGCAGTTACTCTCCTGCACCTCCTCAGCCCTCTTCCCACATGGGGGATTCTGAGGCTGGCCTGGTGAGCAGGTGCTTGCTTGTAAGCCTGGGAGGGCAGGAGCGAGGTAGACCGGACTTGCCCTTGGCAGTAATCCCTGGCTGTTCCCAGGAGTTCTGACCATGCTGCTCTTGGGACTGGGCTCTTGGACTCGTGGACACAGAGTGGAGAGGAAGGAATGGCCTTCGTTTTTTCTCCTGTGAGCAGGAGATTGGAACTCTTGACCTTTGGGTATATTCTTTAGGATGGGAATGACCTGGATAGCTAGACAGAGCTCTGCGTTCTGTGTCTGCTTGTGTCACAGCACGCACCAGGGCAGGAGTTAGCCTAGGGCTCAGGATGCAGCTCGGGCTCCCATGTCCCTTAATTTTTTTTACTTTTATTTTCTTAAAATTTATTTTTTGAAAGATTTATTTATTTATTTGAAAGGCAGAGTTACAGAGAGGCAGAGGCAGAGGCAGAGAGAGAGAGTGTCTTCTATCTGCTGGTTTACTCCTTAAATGGCCACAATGGCTGGAATCATGCCGATCCGAAGCCAGGAGCCAGGAGTTTTTTCCACGTGGGTGTAGGGGTCCAAGGACTTGTCCTTCTTCTACTGCTTTCCCAGGCCATAGCAGAGAGCTGGATCAGAAGTAGAGCAGCCGGGACTAGAACCAGAGTCCATACGGGGTTCTGGCACTGCAGGTGGCGGCTTTACCTGCCACACCATAGCGGCAACCCCTCTTGTCCCTTATTGGAATGTCTGGATTTGATACCTGGCTCCTGGCTCCTGGCTCTGGCTTCCTGCTAGTGCACACCCTGGGAGATAGTGGTGATGACTCAAATAATTGCCCCCCGCCACCCAAGTGGGAGACCTGCATCACTCTCCTGTCCCCTGGCTTCAGCCTGGGCCAGTCTTGTCCATTGTGGGCAAGTGGGGAGTGAACCAGCAGATGGAAGACCTCTCTCTCTCTGTCTCACCCTCTCTTTCTGTAACTCTGCCTTTCCATAAATGCATAAATCGATATAAAAAGAAGAACCATGGGAATGAAGTGGTTGAACATGAGTAAGACACATTTCTGTTCTGTGTACAGATTCCCAAACATGCCCTGGTAAGCCCCTTATTACATGATGGTTTTGGAAAAGAACAGTTTTCAGAAATGCTGACTTCTCGTTCTGGGTCCCTGACCTTGTTGGTCTTTGTGGATGTCTGTGCTGTGGACTTCTTCCCAATCGCTCTTTCCTTTTTAAAATGTTTTTCTTTCTTTTAAAAAAAAATTTTTTTTTTGAGTGAGAGAAAAGAAAGAGAGAGAGGGAGGGAGGGAGGGAGAGAGAGAGAGAGAGAGAGAGAGAGAGAGAGAGAGATCTCCCACCCACTGATTTATTCCCTGAATGCCGGCAACATTTGGGGCTGGGCAAGGCTGAGGTTGGGGCCAGGAATTCAACCCAAGTCTTCCACGTGGGTGGCAGAGACCCAGTACTGGAGCCATCACCTGCTACCTCCCAGGTGTATGTGGGAAGCTAGAATCCGCAGCAGGGCCAGAGCCCCAGTCCAGGCACTCCAGCATGCAACGCAGGTGTCCCAAGTAGCAAAATGCGCCAAATGCTCGCACCTCAGTCGCTTTTTGTTATTGAATTATATTTTACTTGCGGAGCTTAAGGAGCTGAATGCATGAATTGTTGTACATATTCATATTCATTTTTTAGGAATTTATTGCTACATGAGAGTCTTGGTTACAGCAAATTACTGCGACACAGTTCTCGTGTTAATGTTACATGACTGCAAAGAGAACAGATTCAGTGTAGTCCGTAGGTACAAAAGTATAGTGATGCTTTCCTT